ATTAGTGTCACATATAATCGAATCTTCATTGTGTGCTTTGGAAAAAGTTGTTCTATTCTTTTCTTTTTCAGTGATTGATAATTTTAAAATTTGTCTAATTTATCTCACATTTGGGATCAGCGGTAATTATAGCTGTTGAAACAAGTTAGGCAGTTTTGTAAAAAATCCAAACTCGGTTATTTATTTGTTATTCTGAAATTAGATTAATATAATACTCCTACATAATTGTACGATTCCACAACCTTCATGTAGAACACACTACGGTCACCTCATTTGCATATTTTCTCAACAAAGGTTTTAAATCCGTATAATCTCTCAATAGTGGCCAACCCCTATCATAAATCATACACTTTCTTGGCTCGTTCTTGACGAAAAATGTTTGGTTGCCTACATTTAGAAAAAATGCCCTTTTTAGGTCTTGCTTTAATCAACAATAACTAAAAAATGGATAGTTTAACGAAAAAATAATTATTAGCCCCAGGTGAGCAATAATATTATCTACACTGTCAGATTTTTTTAAGCCAAAATACGTTATAGTTTTGGCTCAAAGAGAAAAATAAGTTTTTCTGTTTTTATTTTTTATTAAAAAAACGGAAGCCTTTAATGCAATATAAAAACTATTTCCATGAAGATTTTTGTATCACGAACAAATAGATATGTCGCACAAGTCTTCAAGTGCTATAGTAAGGATGATATTGGAAGTGGCGTTTTGCCGTATTTCGGCAGATTTTAATGACTGTAAGGAAGAGCCTTAAATACTCACACAGGGCAATTAGTGCAGTCCTATAGTGTGAACCACATTTTAGACTTGTGAAATTGGTAGTAAAAATTATTTTTATAGGTAAGCAAGTGACGGGTGATGACTCCATTTTTGATTCGGATGCCACGGATGATCATCCAACAAGAGAGAATAACATAGAAGTTGTGGGCACTGAAGTTGTGGATGAAACCATCACCATCGAAATCAATGATTCTGATGGGAAAAATGAGTTAAGTGATGAAATCCAGGAAGAAGTGTCCTCAAATTTATTAAGGTTACAAACAAAATGGAATTCTCCAGGTGTACCAAAGCGAAACAAGACATCACTGCGCACACCACATGGCAATTTAAAAAATAAATTAAGCCAGTGGTCAGCGCAAAAAACAGAATGTGCTGTTTCACAGAAAGAATTTTTACGAGAGGAACATGATCAAAAACTTCGCCACAACTAGGAAAGGCATCAAATATATTTGCAAGAATGCAATTTAAGAATGCAGCACATGCAGGAAAAACATGATTTAGAATTACAATTATTAAAAAAATCTCTTGAATAAACTAAAATGTAATTTTGTTATAGTATATAAATATGTATATATATATGTAATCATAATAAATTTTCAAAATATTGGTTAATCAAAGTTTGTCTAACAATATTATTAACGTTGTGTGCACGGTTATCTTCAATTATGTCATCATCTATTATAGCTGCAGCAATTTCACGTTCTACGTCCTCATTTATGTCGTCTGGTGCTTCATCATTCAGTTCACAAGCTACGTTGTGAAGAACAGCACACGCTACAATGAGTGCTTGTATTTTAGTAGACTTTAGTCTGATCCCTAAAGCAAGTACAGGAAACCTTCTTTTCAGTACGCCAAAGCATCTCTGAATAGGATTTCTGGTCCAAATGTGTGTTTGATTAAACAAATTCTCGGCCGGTGTAACCAAAGTTCGCAGTGGTGTTATTAAATAATTTGTTACGGCATAACCTTTATCCCCTAATAGAACACCATCCCCAAATTCACCATTTTCAAAACGATGTTTTATTCTCGAATTAGCAAAAATATACGAATCATGTGCAGATCCAGGCCATCGGGTTACAATGTCAAGAATTTTCAAGTTTGCGTCACATATAGCTTGGACATTATAAGAAAAAAAACTTTTCCGATTTCTATATACTTCAGCGTCACGTCCTCCTGGAGACAAAATTTTAATGTGTGTACAATCCAGGGCACCAACACAACGAGGAAATCTGGCAATATTATAAAAACCCTGTCTCACTGCACTCTTTTCGGCTTCTGTTCTTGGCATTTGTATGATCTGTGGTCGTATCCTTGCAAGTGCAAAAATTACCTTCGTAATTACACGACTAGTAGTTGATTCATCTACGCCACTATGATCGCCTACCAATTTTAGAAATGCACCAGTTGCAAGAAATCGAAGTGTTATTATTACTTGTTCTGATGCTGATAAAGCATGGTTTCTGTCCGTTTGTGATGAAATTTCTGGGCTAATTTCGTTTATTATAAAATTTGTAACATCTTTGGACAGTCTATAACGTCGTTTAAATTCCTTATCATTATATATTTCAAAGGGATCGATTCTATTCCGAAAAATTCGGGGTAGCCGTGGTTCCATAACCTAAATTGCGATGAAAATTTGTAATAAAGTTTAATAAAACAAAAAACATTGTTAATACCTCATCTAATAGTTCTAAAAAATCTTCATCATCGGTTAAATCTCCAAGAAAATCTTGATATCTTGCCATAATGAGCACAGGGACTCTTTTTTAACTTTATGTGGATTAGTAATAATACTCATATATGAACGCAACTAACGATTTATTTGTCAAATTGTCTATCACCGTCAACTGATTAATGGTTGATCTTATGTTGACTATGGTCAATCGCTTGGTTACATTGATCTAAGGTTGAACTGCGCGTCAGCGTCTGATCACCAATTGAACAAGTCACTTGTGTACTGATCGAAGAATGACCAGCAGATCATTTTTAACCTGACGTTGACCAACTATTGTACAAGTCGCCCTTAATCTCAAATCAGGCCCAACCAATAGCCATAGTCGCTGCACTGTAACCAATCACATCCATTGTCTGTTTGACAGTTTGCAGCTGACAACCAGCTTAGCTATCCCGCGCTATTCGTCCGTGTTCTAGATAATATTGTATCACAAAATACTTAAACAACATTTCACTGTTACACTATTTTGTGATTTTATGCTATCCGTTATTAATTTTATAGTTTGTCCCTGTGTGATTTGTGTGAAACACATTATCCCATTCGAAACGTGCGGTTAATATGGAGAGGTAGGTTACCATAATAAATAATACTCCTAATAAACATTATGACTGTATGAGATTATATATTTTTTTAATGTTACTTATCGTGGAAGTTGCCACACCATACTTTAGTGCCAAATCTTTCTTGCGGTTTCGTTTGCGAGGTGCCATTTCTAATGTTAAAAGACGGAATGACTGTACCTCGGACGTTATTAAATGCGTACACAGCAAAAAAAAATGTTTTGTCTGGAGCCACTTGTATGTAATTCTGTGAATTCGGATTGCTAAATTCAGATAAATCCGAATTATAAAATACATTGTGAGAAAATAATTTATCGAATAATTTATCGAAGAAAAATGTAATAATTGTGAAACAATAGCTGAAATAGATCACGAGACGCGTAGAAAAATCAAGACTGAAGAGATTTTAATGAAACTGTCACAATTAAACAATGAAGATTTTTAGCAATCCGCTAATCAATGTTTGGAAATCCTAAAGAAATTTGAGAAACCAGAGTCCGTAAAAAGAAAAATTGAAAAACAGAGCTATCATCCTAACAACGCAAAGAAGAAATAATAGTAAAGATTTGATTGAATCTTTTTAATTGATTTGAATGATTTTTACTTGTAGTAATTCTCATTATTTCCCAGCAGATGTAAAATCAAATGCCTGATAAATTTGAAGATGAAGTTTTGTTTTAGTGTGTATTATTTTAATATTTTAATAATTTATGTATTTGTATCTTATCTTGATAAATTATTTGTATGTATTTTTTTATAAGTTTTCTGTATTGTTTCATTGTAAATATTAAATATATTAATATGTCATTTTATTAAGTAACAAAGATAATACGTTATTAACGCCTGTTTTGTTTTCATGTTTTTATTTAATTGAATAAAAGCAACGCAAATAATAAATGGCAATCTATAAAAACATTGTCCACACGCGAGTTAAAAGGATTCAAGTTATTTGGCGCGACGATTTAAACAAAATTCAAATTGAATCCGCCCTCTGCTGCAATTGGCTGGGCCTGTTTTGATATTTAGTGTATCCTGCAGCATTAGTCGCAGTGTTGCAATGAAGCATGCGATTTTAAAACAAAAATAAAAAAGTTGGATTATTGAACTTATTCAACTACGTGAAATTCTAACTAGAGTGTTAGAAAATTAGTCTTTTGTTCAATGTTTACAATTTTCTTTTAATGTAAATTAATTTTATTATTGTTATTTGTTACATTTATTTAATGTTTTATACATTCATAGGGTATTTTGTTAATAAACTAGTATTGCAAGGTTTCCCATCTATATTTTTTACTCACCCCTTATGTTAATCAATAGCATTTAAGTACATTGAACAAATAACGCTTAAACATAAATGAATGTTTAGTTAAACATCAAAATTTAGGCTTTGTATGCAAACATCGAGTCCGTTAATTTTTATGTATTTATTTTGTATTTGTTGCGGACACAATATGGCGCCCAATTGCGCTAGGTTTATTTATCTAGGGACTTTAGCGGCCAAGTTTTCATGTTGTCAAATATCAAAATTTTATTATGACGTTTGGACCGCATGTGCACTTGTTTGTTCATTTAACTTTGGCGAAAGCATAAAATAAAATAAAGTGGGATTATATGACATTCCTTTACAATTAACGTTAAATTTTCTTGCATAAACCCACCTTCGTTCTTTCATTAAGCATACGATTGGTATCTGGTTTTAGTTAAAAATCTACGTAACTTCGGTAAACCGGCAAATAAGTAATCTTACAATTAGACTTTTACTGATACTCCACCCTGAATGCAAAATAACAGTACTGAACTAATAAGTAAAATTGACTTGATATTACAGTTTAATAAATCTCAAAACTGAATACTTTTACGTTGGGCTGGCGTTAATTAACACAGTTACAAACACTATCAAGACCACGGTATTAGAAAGACTTACCTGTTTATCGCTGAATGTCGAACTTACACTAATGTTGTAGACACAAAATTAACGATAAACCATAACCAAGTCCTTGTTGGTTTAACACAATTTTCAACGTTAAGGATCAGAAGTAATGCTTCCATCGTCACTTTTGCACGTGTAAACCAAAGGTGTAAACACCATACCTATTTTATTCTGACGTGGTTCTGTTTCTGAACTTCCGACAATTCGCACATTGGTTAACTACACCGACATGTGGTCACCACAGAAAAGAAAAGATACGGCCATCTATGGCCATAACTACTCTACTGCGCATGCTTCAAGGATGGACAACATGCAGCTGTACATTTGAAAAGAATTTAGCTTTAATTGATGGGGCCTTGTGTAATTTACTTTCACTATGTATTCGAAGTGACACATGCACTTCTAGAAAAACAATTATATCCAAAATCTTGACGAAAAAGTATGCTGGAACGATGGCAAATCATAAATCCGTTCATGGAGTGTTTTCACTTCTTGATCCATCTTATGTATAATTGGTTGCATAGATGTATATATTTATTCATAATTATTTAAAAAATATTTAAAATTATTTGATGGTATTGCACAAAATATTAGCAAAAATGTAAACAAATTAATATGTTTGATCCCCTTTTATCTGTGAATTAAGAGCCAAGACTCAAATTTGATGATGGATCTGGGCTAATAATTAAAATAATATTATTTTAATTATAGCAAAAGACTCACAAATTAGAACAACTGCGAAGATGGATTCCGTGTTATTATCCTTACATTAGCCAAAAAATGTCGCGAAACCTTTTCGGAAAAAAACAACTTATAAGAAAGGAAAACATTTTGAACTTTCTCTTTCAGCACACTATATATTTGTTTTTATGGTGCATGCACGTAGTTTTAGCATTTCAGTAAGTATGAATTTGGAAGAGTTCGTTGTGGTCATTTTTATAGTTTTAAGCAGGTAACAACAAAGATAACTACTATTGCACTAATCTCATTCAAAATATACCTTTTTTTGTTCGATGTTAGAACAGAATTGTGTCTGCCGTCGAAATATGTCTGCCTAAACTTAAAGAATTTAGTGTTATATGTAGGGAAGTTTTGTTTTAAATATATCGTAGCATTTGTTTTAGTAAATCTTGTAATTTGTATTTGTAGGTATGTATACAGGCTGTTCATTTTATCTGTTCACGCCTGATAATTTTTGTATAGGCAACATATTATACACCTCAGAGACGACTTCGTCCAATTTATTTTTTTTTAATAAGCATAGAAAAAAAATTACAAAGATGTCAATGTCAAATAGTGACAAAATTGAAAAAATTAATACTCAATTTATTCATCGATCAGATTACAACGAAAACGAATTTCTAATAAATGTTCAAAATGCCTGCCATCCCTATCTTCACAAAATTTCTACGAAATCTATCTAACATGTCGGAAGTTATAGATCTGCATAACGCTATTATCCTTTCACGTAAGTTTCTATTGGGACACTATAAACGTCATTTTTTACCTTCCCCCAAAGAAAAAAATCTAATGGCGTTAGATTATGGCTCCGTGCAGGCCAAGCGTACTCTCCTTCTCTAGCAATAAGTCTTCGTCCAAACGCTCTGTGGAAATAGTTCCTAACGTCTCTCTGATAATGAGCGGGAGCGCCATCATTTTGAAACAAATTATTCTTCGTATGTCTAGCTCTACGTTTTCCAACAGTTCAGATAAAATATTCTTTAAAACATTTAGAAACGCAGGTGCGTTTAAATTTCCTTAAAAAAAATGTGGACCAACCACGTGGTTATCAACAATTCTACACCAAGCATTAACTTTGAAAACTTCTTGGAAGTGCTCAAGTGCTTTTCCAAATACCAATGGAGATTTTGCTGGGCATAATAATGTGAGTTGTGTTTGTTTACACACCCGTTATTGGTAAATGTGGCTTCATCCGTAAACAAAACGTTAAATAAAAAATCTTGATTGCTTCGTAATTGAGCCCCCACGAATGCGCAAAACACTAACCGTCGGATAAAACCGCGTTGGTAACCTTAAGTCTTTAACTGTATCTAATTTGGCTATAGTATGGGTTCCCTCAATGGAGTAATTATAAACAAAATTGAACTATTTTCTACTGTAAGTCACCTTAAAACACTTATCTTGTTTAACAATAGTCGATTAGATGCACTCCATGAAGATAAGGCGTTTATATTTTTTTGTAAAATGTCACAGTCTTCAGGCACACTTATTGAGTGGAATATCTTAAGATCGTCAGCGAAAAGTAGTTTATAACAAGATAAGGAGTCTACTACATCATTAATGTATAACAAAAATTGTAGAGGCCACAGGTTGAACCCTTGCGGTACTCCGGAGGTAGGGCAAAACGGCCTGGAGACAAAGTTTCGATATCGTACAAAGATTTTTCTATCGAATAAGTAGGATCTGAAGACTAGTAGCAGCGAGTTTAAGAATCCAAATAAATTTAGTTTCTCCATCAGTATATGATGGTCAATTTGGTCGAAAGCCTTCTTGAAATCCGTGTACATCACATATACTTGTATATTTTGGTCCAAAGCTTCTGTAACATGCTGACTGAAGCACGATAAATTGGTTACAGTGGATCTCTTCTTAACGAAGTCATGTTGAAATGGTGTAATAAAGCTCTTGACGGAAAAGTAAATATGTTTGTAGATAACCGATTCAAAAAATTTTGAAAAATTACATAGAATGCTGATTGGCCGCTAAACCAAATGGAATAATGATGAGCTTTATGACTGAAATTAAACATAGGAACAGATCTTTTAAAGATATCATTCAAGACCCGATAAAATTCAGAGCAGGCTTCCTCAACATATGATACATCAACTAAGAAAGACCGGTCTATGGAGGATAGTATATCATACAATAATAGGAAATTAGCCTTCCGAAAATTATAATGCTTAGCTGTTGGATTCATACTGAAGTGGTGGGTACTGGAGTTTACGGTATACTCTAGATGAATGTTAAAGCAGGGTGGTGATCATCTTCGTCTACAACTGGTCCTTCACTCTGAGTTACTGAGCATAAAATATTAGTATATACAAGATCTAAGATGCGGTCAAGTTTATTACGTATGGTATTAAGTTGTGATAAGTTATGAAAATTTGAGAAATTTTGTAAAAGTGCCGCAAATCTATTATTTGGGTTGTCTATAAATTCGGGAACATTGAAATCTCCTATGATAACTGTATTTTCAATATGTGACTCTTGCAAGTTGTTAAGCATGTCAAGGAATAACTCGTAAACATGAAAGGTGGTAGATGGCGGTACATAAACGGCAAGATGTTGAAAACCGAACCCAAACTAATCTCCATTTGTTTTGCAATCTGTCTTTGACTAACGTGGGGATTTTCTGCTACAATTTCAATTAGCGCAGTTTTATTATCCGGTGTTGTTACAGTTCGATTTCTAACTTTTTTTTTGAATTGCCCAAATTCTCGTGACTTTTTTTTCAACTTTTCTACACGCTTGATTTGAGGGAGTTCTTCTATTGGGATATTGCCTGGCGTAGAGACGAACAGCTGCATCAAAACTTTTGTCACTCTTTCCCAATATTAATACCATATCTGTTTTTTCAGAATTCGAAAACATTTTAAAACAAACGAAAATCGAAAATATTTGGCTGACAGAAATAATTTGTCATAATTTTGGTTCTGATCATTGCTATCTATACTTTCATTATATTATTTAAAAATAAAAATTAATCAAAGCTGTTTATGAAACGTAAAATGGGTTGCCTATGCAGAAATATTTAAAAGTGGACAGATAAAATGAATACCATGTACCTTGTACCTTGTACCTTGTACACATATAGTATCTACTAAAGGTAGGTACTATATGTGGATCTCATTTTCTATTTATTGGTAGTTTTATTTTTATCATTTCTGCAGGTCATGGGTATAATGCAGTCAAAATGGGAAGAAGTATGTGGAAGAAAATATTGTACAACTAAATTACAACTAATTGTACAATTTTTAATAGCTGCAGGAAGAAACAAGTTAAAAATTGGTACCTACCTTATTAAATTATTAACCTTTAAAGGAATCCAATTTTTTAGATACCTAACTGATAAGAGTTCCATATCGTTTTTCCAAAAAACTACATATCCAATTTTGAAAATAACGCTGAATCAATGAACCACAGATGTAAAAGAATAATGTTTTGAATATTTTAGACAGGATATATTTAGCAAAATTTTTCAGCAGAAATGAACAGAAAAATTTTTTGGGGGCGTTTTACGATTGCAGTTTGCCAACAGACAGCAGACAGAAACGTGAGGAGGTCTACTTTTTTTCTATTCTAGTGGTATCCAGAAAAGGTGCAATTATAAACATTAGTGAAATAATTTAAATTAATTTAAGTTAAATACATACTTAGTGAAATAGTCAATTTTTATTTTATTTTTTAAGGTGACGAAATACGCTAAGTTACAATTTCTACAACATAATAAAGTGAGATCCACCTAATAACAAACTTTTGAAATAACGTCATCACTAAACTTGTTCTGTAGAATTGATGGACGAATTGGCATTTTAGCACCTGTCCAATAATGTAAAAATTCCAGTTTCCAAGAATTTTTTTGATTCTTGAATTTTAAGACATTGATGTCATTAGAGAAAGTGAACTTATAGCGGTGAAAATGAAGAAGAAACAGAATGTAAAAGTATTTTTATTTTTGTTTCTAAGATTGAACTAATGATAATGGAAGAGTTCATAACTATCCTTTCCACGAGGTATGGAACTGGAGGGCTACCAGAACGTATGTCACCACTGTTCCTGATATCTGAAAGCAGAGAAATATATGCATATATATTGTTTCAATAAATTAAAAAGTAATGAGTATAGCACACAAATGTAATACCTAAAAGACAAAAAAGAAATTTACTCTAGCACTAATTGATTCATTTAGTTTAGTCTTGAAGGTATGTTAAGTCTCTTTCTCTGTTAGTTGAAATGCAATACTCTATATATGTACTATATATGATTCATTTAAAAATAACCAAACAAAGCTTGTTTGATGTTTCATGCATATATTCTATAAAATAATATTGGAGAATGAAAAACTTAAGTATTTTCTTCTGTTTCTACTTACCGAAGGGAGAAGTCTGGTTCCTACAGTGAAAACGTTTGAAACTCGGAGCACTGGTTTCTGTATTGTTAATGTAGTTATCAACACCTCTACCTGTCGTAATAAAATATAAACATTATTTCGTTTCAGTTTTGTTTAAATTATAAAA